TTGATTTCTCTTAAGGAGAGTTCCAAAAACTGAAGAACTTACTCTGGCTTAAAGAACCAAGTGTGGTCAACCAAATGCCTCTTAAAGCAAATTAGGTACCATCTGCTTCCCAAGACTTTGGGAGCGGAGACCTGCTGCTTAGAAACCTTGTTTGAATTAGTATTACAACAAGCCAGTGGCCTGTGGTTTGATTAATTACTCATGACTTGTTACATAAAAGTACTCTTTCCTTAGTGTATTCTTTGGATAATTAGATGTCATGTATTTGTTATTTTAGAGTCAACTTCATTTTCTTTCTGTAAGTAGCAAATTTAATATTGTTCACTTCAGTTGATCATTTATTGAGCACCTACCATATGCTAAGCACTGTTCAAGGCACTTTGAATTGTTGGGTAGAAAAAGTAGAACCAAACTTCTACTTTCTCTTCCCCACAATCCAAAATGTTATAAACACTGACTCGTTTCTTTGTCGGTAAAGAGCATGTCTTGTTGTTCTTACATTGAACACCTAGTATAGGACCTCACATAGAAAAATCTTTGTTTAGAGTAAAGTGAATGATCTCTTCTTTCATCTGCTTTCATGAAGGTGACTCTCAGCAGCCTTGAACCACAGAAAGGGAAATTATATTTTTGTTTAGGATGGCAAAAATTAAAAATGGATTTTTGACTTGGTACATATTCTCTTTTGTTTTGGGCTCCCATAGTGATTTGCAACTCTCCAATAGCAACATCACTTTTCTTCCATTTGTGGCTACGTAGTCCTTCATGTCAGGGACCATGTCCGATTTCTCTCTTTCCTTACTATGACAGACACAATACTCTGCACATAGGTACTTACTCAATATTTGTTGAATTGAATTAATAATAGGCTGCCTCATTTCCCTCTCAGAAAGTAGAGACCACATATTGGTCATTTCTATTTCTATCGTGTCTATAGTATATTATGATGTATATTTTGTACTTAATATATGATCAGTAAATGCTTATGGACTTCAAATCTCCTCATTCCCGTGGTTGGATTTTTTTGTACTACCATTTTGCTTTTTCATATCAAGATGCCCAAAACTGTGACTCAAGGAATGAGTGCCTTTGCTGACTGACTGACTGACTGGCTTATCCAATGAGTAAATAATAATAATCAAGTACATATATAAAGTGCATTCTCATATAGCCACCAAATGTCCCCCTCTCACATGCCACGTTAGAAAACAGGGTCCAGAAAAGAAAGAGCTTGTCTAAGGTCACGTTAAGAGATTGTGCCAAAGCTAGGACTAGAATCCAGATTTCATTACCTCCAGCCCAGATTTTATCCTTCCTAATATTAGTTCTCCCTCCTTTTCTTTACATCCCCACTGCTGCCATCTAAGATCAGGCCCTATCCCTCCTACCTGGACTGCTGCCATTGCCTCCTAACTGTTCTCTATGCTCCCAGCCTCAACACCTCCAGTCCATCCTCCACATGGTTGCCAAGGTGATCTTCTAAAGTGCAAATCAGATCATGTTCACTCTGCTGTTTAAAGTCTTACAGAGGCTCCCATGGCCTATGGGATGGAGTCCCCTGAACCACATGACAGAGAATGATCCACCCCCTGACTCCCAGGCCTGTCTCTTATTTCTCTCCTCAGAGTCTGTTTGCCAGCTGGGTTCAAATGTCTACAGTGACCATAACCTTCAGGTTGTTTCACACCACAGTGGAGCCTATCCCCATTCCTCGTGTGCTCTCTGCCCAGACCATCAACCTCTTCTCCTTGGTTAATAGCTTCTTAGGTCTTATAAGTAGACAGATAGGGGATTATTATTATTTTTTTTTTTTGAGACGGAGTCTCACTCTGTCACCCAGGCTGGAGTGCAATGGCATCATCTCGGCTCACTGCAACCTCCACCTCCAAGGTTTAAGTGATTCTCCTGCCTCAGCCTCTCAAGTAGCTGGAATTACAGGCACCCACCACCATGCCCAGCTAATTTTGGTATTTTTAGTAGAGACGGGGTTTCAACATCTTAGTCAGACAGGTCTTGAACTCCTGATCTCAGGTGATCCACCCACCTCGGCATCCCAAAGTGCTGAGATTAGAGGCGTGAGCCACTGCAGCTGGGACTCTTTTACTGAATCACAAACTCTATCCTCTTTCCCTCCCCACACATACCTTCTCCCTCATTAGAGGTGATCGCTAAGCATCTCATATATTTTCTACTGTCTTAATAGTGGTAACACGTCTTTCGCTTTCACTTAGTTTGTGAATCCTCGGAGTTCTGTGAACATCTTAAGGGCAGGGGCTGGGCTAGTCATGTTTGTATTCCCAGAACCTGGCACTAGGTCAGGCATATAATAGATGCTCCATTACACTGCTGCTGACTCTCTGGAATAAATATAGCTTCCATAACCCTTCACAGTGAATTAACTCAACTTATGGTTTTCTTTAAATTAAGCCTCACATGGAATGATAGTTGAATTATGTAAGACCTAAAGGAAAGAGAATGTATTTAAAGAAAACCAGCACTTGAAAATGCCTTACTTTTATAGGTGGTGAACAAATATTTCATAGCAACCATGGGATAATGTATCAGCATATTGTTAATGCAAAGTAGACAGGGGGCCACTGAATGTGTTTCTGCAGCTCTTTGCCACTGCCTCCCCACTGCTTCTCTCTTTAGCCCCCAGTTTACTGAAAGAAGTCAGTGTGGTTACCTATTCGGTGAAGAGAACTTGTGCCACATTCCGATCTTTCATCATGGAGTAGATTTTCAGCTACATTTCCAGCTCAGTTGTTAAACCCATTCCTGCCTGATTTGCCAGTTGTGGAAGTGTTCATTTGTTTATTTATTTATGATGCGAGTCCCTTGGGTTCAAAAATCTCTTCAAAATGCTACTGCTCCATCTGGTTTAAATAGAGCATACTAAGAAGAAATGAGAGAAACAATGGGACCGTGAGGTTGAAGGAAAAAAGGAACAGTCTGGCAAACAGGAAGCAGAAGGAAATTAAGATTCTTTTTTCTTTCTTTATGACTTTGTGCTGGGGGGAGGGAAGCTATTTTCAGCAAGAAGACATGGTTGCTATCTGGAAGTTCACATTTCTATCTGCAATGATCTGATATTCAAAATCTGTGAGGTCTGAGTCCATGAATGACTATGAATCATGTTCAGGCAGGCTAGTCTCCAGGGCCTGGGACAATGGCCTTTGTTCTTCCCTTTTCTTATCTGTTTCATTATTCTCTTGGGCATTTAATATGCTGAACACAGGCAGCCTTGTAGGATGTTCTTTCTATTCAAGGGTAGGCATTTTGGCTTTGGACATTCTAGATTCTCCAGCAGAAGAGCCATTTACCTTGCTAATGCTTTTCGTTTGTTTGAAGTCCTTGAAGGGTATGGTGGTGAGAAATGTAGTCTTTTGGCATCCCTCAATTCCTAGAGTCCCAGCTCTGTTGTTTACTACCTGTGTCATCCTGGGGACACTGCTTTGCTTAACCTCTGAGCCTCGGTTTCAATAGCTCTTAAGTGGGGCCAATAATAATACTTATGTATTAAACTTGTCAAGAAGATTAAACAAGCTATGTAAGAAGGTTTCACAGTAAACACTCAGGAATCAATAGCTATTTTTATAAGATCTGCCTGTACTTCACTTTACATGCCCATTGGGTTTTACAGCACTCCTCTGTGAGAAAGATACAGAAGGCGTTTATGGCCCAATTTGACACAATTGCACAAGGAAGGGGCTCACAAACCCGAGAAACCCTGCTCCCAGTGATTGGTCCCTTTCCTATCTGTCACCTTTGGCTTGTGGTTGCATATCCTCTGTTCACCTTTTCTAAAGAATGACTCAGAGCTTTTCCTTCTGAGGGCAAACCCTCTGAAAGAGAGACAATAGCAATCAAATACTTTGGCATTATTCACCCGGAGAGCTAAAAGCTGTCTCTGCCTTCCACATTTAGAGTGTAGGATACTGCTTTAAAAAGCACTAAGCAAGGACAAAATAATGTGATTGGGTCACATCTTTAATTTGTATTACTTTCCCTTTTATCAAAAGGGAAGAGGACAGGGTACGGTGTCCTCCACAAAGGAGGGCAGGAGTGAAGGGTGGAGCAGCAGGCACAGAGCTGCCTTCGCCGTTTCCACACCCTACTACTGTGCACGGTTTGATTGCATGTTACCTGCTGTTCATTTGGCCCTTCCTGAAGGGACTGGAGGACAAAACAAGGACTCTGCTTCCCCAAAGTTGGGGAAGGTAATTAGAAGCTGCATACTACACTCAAACTGTCCAGTGACTATTCAACAGTACTAAAATAATGCTCAAATTCACCAGACAACTTTTCCTGTGTGCACTCATGCCCCCAGACCCAGCATGGTCAGCCAATCTACAGTGAATTTATTTCAGGCATATGACAAGGGCTGACACTTCTCCTCAATTTGGTACTGTAAAAACTAACAATTACATGTTAATTATAATAATACCAGTACCTGTTATAATCAAAACTCAAAGTAAATAAAGGTTTAAACAATTAGAAGCGTATTTACTTTCTCAGAAAGCTTTAAGCTGGTCTTCTTGGCTAATGGGCAATTCTCCCCTGGTCAGTGATTCAGGAACTTTAGCTTTTCCACACTATGGCTCCTTCATCTTCAACATGTAGCTCTGAAACCAAATGATTCATTGCATCAAGCTAGTAGAAGGGAAACAACATGAAGGCTTGTGAGAGGAATATTTTTATGGGCCAGGCTTGTTCCCTTACATTGGCCAGAACTCACATTCCCTTGGCCCGGACTCAGACACATGGCCACACCTAATTTTTAGGGTAGAGTCTAGTTTTGTGCTCTGGGAGAAGAGGAAATGAGTTTAGCTTACCAGATAGTCTCTGCCTCAAAACAATAATGACAAAAATTAACATTTATAAAGCATTTATTTTGTGCCAGGCACTGTGCTAAGCCCTTTACCTACATCATTTTAAAATTTATATACCATATTATTCACTTGTTTAAAGTATACAATTCAGTGGGTTTTAGTATATTCACAGAGTTGTGCAACCATCACCACAATCAATTTTAGAGCATTTTCATCATCTCCAAAAGAAACCCCATAACTATTAGCAACTCCTCATTTCCTCCCACCCCCTACCTCCAGCCCTAGGCACCATCAATCTATTTTCCATTCATATGGATTTGCCTATTCTAGGCATTTCATATAAACAGAAGACCTACATTCTTTTATATAACCTTTACCATGATCCTAAAAGTTAGGCATGTTATTACTTCTATTTTACAGATAAATTTACAGAGAATCAAGCTGTTTAAATGATTTGCCAATAACTTTAAACCCTGCTCATCATTGAACTCCATTATGCTATACTGCATCCCAATTATAAAGAATAATCATGCCATGATTTGTGGCAGGGAAGGAGTGTTTGTTTGCTTATCTTTTAATGACTATTATGGCAACAAACTGATGTCTTTAAAACAGGCTCCTTTACTGAAATGACAGGTACTCAGGTGTCAGAAAGCTTCAGGTTTGAAGCTCAGATCTACCACTTACTGGATATATACAAAATATATACTGCTTAGTTCCTCTTGAGTCCCAGCATCTTTAATCTATAAAATGGGAATAACAAATTCCTGTTTGCTGGGAGGAGTCAAAAGGAGATTAACATATATGAAAGCTCTTCTCACAACTTTACATAGTCCATGTCCTGCCAGTGTAGTTGTACTTGCTTAGAAGTGAAGTTATAGCTATAATTGGGCAGCCACAGAAATTATGTTCACATGTCTGGGTGTTCTGGATACCATCCAGGAAAAAATTATTGTAACTTGCACTTTTCGGTATCCACATTACAACCCAGGAGTGGCCAAGACCCTGGGAGAATCTGCTACAATGAGAACGAGAATAAAGGGAACATATTCTCCAGGACAGAAAAGCATATGCAGAGTATCTTCTATCGGCTTCTGATCTCCACTGGGCAGAGCAGCTTGTTACAGGCACCTAGAAAGAACCAGCTGAGCCAGTGTAAGTTTGAAGTTCCTTGGGAAAGAAGATAAGCTGGCTGAGTTTCTGTAGGCAAAGAGCCAGTAATGAGGTTTCCAGCATTCCATCACATGTCCTTTTCATCACTTTCAGCTCAGCCAGAGACAGCAGAGCCTCATACGCAGGGGCCAAGTGTGTACTTGAGAGACCTGAAGAGGTAGAATGAAAAGTATTGTGAATGAATGAATTGTACTTTTGTTCCAATGACCTGTTCCCCACCCTACCCTGTCCTTAGCAATAAATATATTAAAAGCTAGATAGGAGAGTACAGAGAAGACAGTGGAGCCAGAGGGGAAGTTACATTACATGTGACTAGTTAAGGTACATAGCCAGAAAAGACCATAAGAGAAAACAGTCCTGAACTCTAGGTGAAATCAAGTGCATATTTCAGCCTTAAAAAATTATCCTAAAAACCTCTGATTCTGCCATTTCCTAAGTGCATGGACAAGTGACAACCTCTCTGAACCTACATTTCCAGATAGGATTGTTACTGGAACCATAACTTATAGCCATGCAAGCTGCAACGTGCACATGTCCAGTAGACTCCAATTATATACACAAGGGGCCAGCAAACTTGTTTTGTCAGGGGCCAGATATCAAGCATTTTATATTTTATAGGTCATACAATCTTTACTGAAATAGTCAACTCTGCCATTGTAGTGCAAAAGCAGCCATAGACAACACATAAATACATAAATGGATGTGGCTCTGATTCAATAAAACTATTTATGGTCATGAAATTCATGAAATTTGAATTTCATGTGATTTTCATATAAAAGTTTCTTTTCCGATTTTTCTTTCAACAAACTGAAAATGTGAAAAGCATTTTTAGCTTATAGACTATATAAAAATGGACGGTGGGACAGATTTGCCCACAGGCCATGGTTTGCAGACACCCCCCATCCCCACTCACAGCATGGACCAAAATGTTTGATACCCTCTACAGAGGTGCAGTATGGCGTCCAGATTATTGTAAAGAGCAAATAAGTACTTGTAAAGGCATTAATGTAGTGCCTGCCCCTTATAAGTGTTCAGCAAATGGTTATTATTACAATTAGCTCTTTCAAAAATAATGAATATTAACTCTGTATTTGCCACTGACCTTTGTGGGGGAAAGCCATTATGTTTTGGTTGTTTAACATTTCTACTACATTAAACTTGTACTGTAATTAAAATATATATTAAAAATAAAAACTAAAAAACTGGTTTGGACAGATAGTGGCACTAGTAGGCCACAGATTTTTTTGGGTTTTTTCTAATGTCCTGGTGTTGCTTCTTCAATTCCTAGATATTTCTTTAGTACTTGGTCTGTGCTTCTGGGTGCTCCATAAATGAATGACACTAAGTCTTTTCTCTCTAGGAGATCTTGGTATTCTTCAAAGTGATTATACACACCCCAGTGGTAGCCAAAACCTTCTCTTTTTATTAATTTTTCATCACAGCCTTTAAATTTCTGTTTTGTTATATGTTTTATAGTGTGCCACACTGTGCCACAGTAATATGGTTACACAATGATTTATAAATATGTAAATATTAAGATAATGGGTGAGTACGCAAAATGATTTTAAACGATGGTGTCAGCAAGCAAAGTTTTGAAACCACTGGTTTAGGAAGTAAACAGATAAATATATCCCAATGGGAAACCAGAGTTGGCATGAGTGATGAAGGCTCTTATTTACAATGACACAAGTGTTTTCAGGACATGAACTGACATTTAGTCTGGTGTCTTATTTGGACATTTAATGTAAGTACATTGTGTGAGAAACAAGATAGTTTACATTTTTTTTTTAATTTCATAAGAACACAACAGCTGTATGAACCAGATAATATTATCCTTATTTTATAGATGAGGAACCAAGGTTTAATTCAGAGAAGTTAAGCAACTTGTAAAGGTCAGCTTGAATGAATCAGGACAGTCTAACTATAAAGCATGACATTTTCCACTTTAGCCTTCATTGCATTGAAGAAGTTCATTAAAAAAAAAATGATTAGTCTCTGGTATTCCTACTCTCAAGTTAGTCTTTTTTCCATCACATGTACTTATGTTATTAAGTGCTAAATGGATAAAATTTCACTCCTCCAGAGTTCTGTGGTTAACCCCCTACCATCTCTTTGCATATGCTTCTTACTCTGATTGGAGCACTTGTTGTTTGGATATCTCGATATCTCCTACTCATCCATTAAGACGCAGCTTAAGGCTCATCCCCTCCTTCCAGAAGCCTTCATGACCTCAGTCCCCAGACTGAGTTATTAGATGCCATTCCTCTCAGCCTCTATAGCACCTTAATGAAAGTCCTTATAAAAATATACTATGCAGAGCTTTGGGGTCGTCCCTGGTCGTGTCTTGGTTCCTGAACCTCACAACCCGGTGATGGCGACGTCTCTTTTGACTAAAAGACAGTGTCCAGTGCTCCAGCCTAGAGGTCTAAGGGGACTGCCACCCACGCCGCCACCATGCCCAACTTCTCTGGCAATTGGAAAATCATTCGATCAGAAAACTTCAAGGATTTGCTCAAAGTGCTGGGGGTGAATGTGATGCTAAGGAAGACTGCTGTGGCTGCAGCGTCCAAGCCAGTAGTGGAGATCAAACAAGAGGGAGACACTTTCTACATCAAAACCTCCACCACCGTGTGCACCACAGAGATTAACTTCAAGGCTGGGGAGGAGTTAGAGGAGCAGACTGTGGATGGGAGGCCCTGTAAGAGCCTGGTGAAAAGGGAGAGTGAGAATAAAATGTTCTGTGAGCAGAAGCTCCTGAAGGGAGAGGGCCCCAAGACCTCATGGACCAGAGAACTGACCAATGATAGGGAGCTGATCCTGACCATGAGGGCAGATGATGTTGTGTGCACCAGGGTCTACGTCTGAGAGTGAGTGGCTATGGGTAGAACAGCGTCCGGAGCCCACCACTGGCCAGGCTCACTGCCCTGCTTCACTGCCCACTCCCTCCCACTCCCTTCTAGAATAGTGCTCCCCTTACCCCAGTCACTTCTAGGGGTCACTGGGATGCCTCTTGCAGGGTCTTGCTTTCTTTGACCTCTTCTTTCCTCCCACACACCAACAAAGAGGAATGGCTTGCAAGAGCCCAGATCACCCATTCCGGTTCACTCCCTGCCTCCCCAAGTCAGCAGTCCTAGTCCCAAACCGGGCCAAAGCAGGGTCTCTCTAAAGGGGACCTGAGGGCCTGAGCAGGAAAGACTGGCCCTCTGGCTTCTACACTTTGTCCCTGTAGCCTATACAGTTTAGAATATTTATTTGTTAATTTTATTAAAATGTTTTTTAAAATATATGCTATGCAACTGTGTAGTTAGCTATTATCTATTAAATTTATTACTCCCTGGACTGAGAGCCTAAGGAGAGGGAGAATATGACCTTGATTACATTGTTCTTCTGGCATTCATATAATGTAGGCATACATTCAATAATGTAGTGCCTGGGACATCGTAAGCCCTCCATATGTACTCACAGACTGAGGGAATCTCTTCTTTACTGATTTGAAGTCTGAGATAACTTTGGCAAAGGGATAGGAATTGAAATGTTTTTTTTTTTTTTTTTTTTTGCTGTTTTAACGGCTTTTTTTTTTTTAAATTTATTTATTATTATTAATCTTTAGTTGTAGGGTACATGTGCATAACATGCAGGTTTGTTACATATGTATAACTTGTGCCATGTTGGTGTGCTGCACCATCCAACTCGTCATTTACATCAGGGTATAACTCCCCAATGCAATCCTCCCCCCTCCCCCTCCCCCATGATAGCCCCGGTGTGTGATGTTCCCTTCCTGAGTCCAAGTGATCTCATTGTTCAGTTCCCACCTATGAGTGAGAAACATGCGGTGTTTGGGTTTTCTGTCTTGTGATAGTTTGCTAAGAATGATGGTTTCCAGCTGCATCCATGTCCCTACAAAAACATGAACTCATCCTTTTTTATGGCTGCATAGTATTCCATGGTGTATATGTGCCACATTTTCTTAATCCAATCTGTCACTGATGGACATTTGGGTTGATTCCAAGTCTTTGCTATTTGTGAATAGTGCTGCAATAAACATACGTGTGCATGTGTCTTTATAGCAGCATAATTTATAATCCTTTGGGTATATCCCCAGTAATGGGATGGCTGGGTCATATGGTACATCTAGTTCTAGATCCTTGAGGAATCGCCATACTCTTTTCCACAATGGTTGAACTAGTTTACAATCCCACCAACAGTGTAAAAGAACAGAGTCCTCAGAAATAATACCACACATCTACAGCCATCTGATCTTTGACAAACCTGAGAGAAACAAGAAATGGGGAAGGATTCCCTATTTAATAAATGGTGCTGGAAAATTGGCTAGCCATAAAGTAGAAAGCTGAAACTGGATCCCTTTCCTTACTCCTTATATGAAAATTAATTCAAGATGCATTAGAGACTTAAATGTTAGACCTAATACCATAAAATCCTAGAGGAAAACCTAGGTTACCCTCTCTCTCTCTCAGGACATAGGCATGGGCAAAGACTTCATGTCTGAAATGGTCTTAACTAAGGTTTCTCAGGATAGGACTAATTGGTGGTCCCCAAATTAGATTATAGGGGATCAGATAATGGATACACAAAGAAGGCAAACTCTTATATGTATGAACGCTTTGTCCTTCTGAGTTTTCTCAGAAATTGAAGAAGGTACACACACTCATACCAATCAAATTTATATTAATGATGTATATGACATCAATATATATTAATTTCTATATATACTTATGTTTATATGTATGCACACATACTCTTGAACATGAATTCATAAAAATAGACTGCCACAATTTCTATAAACTGTCATGGATCACTGAATGTTCAACAAGAGGGTGAAGTTTATTAACACTCTCCAGACTGGCCCATCTTGCAAAGTCATCCAGTTGCTGTAAATCTCCTTTAGTCCTAAAGTCGTTTCCCTTCTGGATGCATAAATCTACTTCTTTCTTTGAAGGGAACTAGCATTTACTGAAAGCTTTTATGGTGTTCTAGATACTTAACAGAAGTGATCTTATTTAATCCTCAGACATTTGTATAAGCCCACAAATCCTGAACCCAAAAGAAAATGGATCAAGTCAAAAGCAACTCTAGAATTTTACTGAAAACTAGGAAATCTATCCTAAAAAGGAAGGGGACAAGACTAAGGAAATTTCTGAATTAATGAATATTGTTAAATTCAAACAAATTCGTTGCATGGGATTATATCAGATTATTTTCATGGTAATTAATTGAGATTATGACCATTAACACGGACACTGTTTATGAGCAGGGACCTCTACAATTGATTGAGAGCAAAGCTTCTTCTCTCTACCAAGTGTGTCACTGTTTGTGAAGAGCTTCCTTTTTTTTTTTTTTTTTTTTGAGACAGGGCCTTTCTCTGTCATCCAGGCAACACAAGTGCAGTGACGTGATCATACCTCACTGCAGTGTCAGTGTGGCTCTCCTAGGGTCAAGTGATCCTCCTCCCTCAACCTGCTGAGTAGCTGGGACTTCAGATGTATGCCATCATGACCAGCTGATATTTCCTGTTTGTTTGTTTGTTTGTTTTAGTATAGATGGGGCCTCACAGTGTTGCCCAGGCTGAGGACTTGTTTCATAAAGGGGACAGCATTGGAACATTTGTTTTCAGACTCTTATGTTTCATAAACCAGAAACATTTCAGAACAAACTTCTATAGGCCACACAATTGCCACCTTTTTATGTTGTCAATAAAATGCAAGACATTAAAAAACAAAACAAAAATTTATGAAAAAAAATCCAACTACTATTTATTCTCACCATCGTTTCAGAAGTAAAAAGAACAATACCAAAACATTAGGAAGAAAAAATAAATAGCATGAAGGCAATAATTCTATAATAAAAGAAGGCTCGATTTTTAGCTCGATGAAAACTCACTGCATCCTACTTACTTTTCTCATTCTGCTCTGGACCAACAAGGGCCAGGGACCGGTGTCTAAGAACCACTGCCACTGTGCATAGACTTTGAAGCCATACAGATCTGGGATTAAAGCTCAGCCCTACCAGTTTCTAGCTGTGAAACCTGAGGCAGGTTACTCAACTTTTTTCAGCTGCGATTTCCTCATGTACTAAATGAGGATAATATCTGACTGACTATATTCATTTATATTTATTTCCCAAGGCTGCTGTAACAAAGTACCATAAACTGGGTGGCTTAGAACAAGAGAAATGTATTGTTTCAACATTCTGGAGACCAGAAGTCTGAAATCAAGGTGTTATTTTGGCCATTCTTCCTGCGAAGACACTAGGGAAATATCTGGTCTAGGACTCTTCTCTGCCTTCTGGTAGTTTCTTGGTTTGTGGCAGCATAACTCCCATCTCCACAAGACATTCTCCCTGTGTGCACCTCTGTGCTCAAATTTCCTTTTTATGAGGACATCAACCACATTGAACTAGATTGAAGTAGTGTCCCACCATATTCTAGTGTGACCTCATCTTAAGTAATATCATCTGCAACAATTCTATTTCCAAATAAGTTCACATTCTGAGGTACTGGGGGCAAGGACTTCAACACATGAATTTTGGGGTGACACATTTCCACCCATAACATTGACCAACCTCTGGAATTGAGGATAGGCTGAGTATATTAGAAAGTACCAATAAAACATCAGAAAGAAAAATAAGAGAGGCTTGTTTGTTTTTAAAAAAAATTATAATTGAGAAATTTATAATATAGGGACAGTAAGAAATTTGTGTAAGGATATAGGACCAAGAAGTAGTGAAGATAAGACTTCAAATACATTCATTTAATAAACACGTATTACATATAACATTCATTTAATGTGTACATATTATTTGGCAAGCCCTGTTCTGGTGCTGGAGATTCAACCAAGGACAAAAAAGACAAGGAACCTGGCCTCATGGAGCTTACATTCTAGTTGGGGAGAGGAGCAAAAATAAAGAAATTAACAAATAAATATACCATATTTCATATATACATTTAATATATAATATTTAGTATATAATGTTTAAGCAGAGATAAGTGCTATAAATTTTTTAGAAGTCTAATAAGAGGGAGAGATAAATGGAGGAACAGAAGATGCTGTTCTATACAGGATGTCAAAGAAATCTTCTCCTTCAAGGAGACACTTGAGCAGATGGAATACTGGTTGCAGTGAAAGGAGCAAATTCCAAGTGAAAGGGGAGCTGCTGAAGGGAGCTGAGCAAGGAGTGTTGGTGTCTGATTTTTGTTTTAAAAACATGGCTGGCTGCTATGTGGAGGAAGGGTGGCAGCAAGGCAAGAATGGAATCAAAGAAACCAGTGAAGAGGTGGTTGCAGAAATCCATGTGAGAAATGATAGTGGTATAGATGAGGGATTTGAGGGTGGAGATGAAAAAAAGACTGAGGGTACATTTTGAAGACAGAATTGACAGGATTTGATGATGAATAAGGCATAGGGTGTAAGTTAAAAAGCAGAGTCAAGAATGACTACCAGATTTTTGGCCAGAGCAACTAGGTCAATGATTGTGCCGTTTATTTAAATGATGCATACTGGGAGTAGAGCAGATTCAGGAGAGGAAACCAAGAGTTTAGTTTTGAGCATTTTAAATATGAGAAGCCTATTATTAAACAATCAAGTAGCGATGCTTAGATGTGGTATGCAGCTGGATATAAGAGTCTGGAGCATAGAGCACAGACTGAGACTGGAGATCTACATGTGGTAGCGTTTGATCTACAGATGGCATTTGAGTCTTGATACTGGACTGCTAGCCTTGGGAGTGAGTATAAAAAAGAAGTCTAATGACAAACTTGGGGACACTCAAATTTAGAATATCAGAAAGCAGAGAAGGGCCTAGCAAAGAAGACTTAGAAGGATAGATTAGTGAGGTAGGAGAAAAACCAAGGGGGTCTTGGAAACCAAACAGAGACAATGATTAATTCAGGGAAATTGTAATTGATTCTGCCAAATGCTGGGAGAGGTTGAATAAACTGAAGACTGTGCACTAGATATTGATTTTGTGAGTGACAATGTTTTCATTTACCTTGATAAGAACAATTTTAGTGGGAAGCCTGATTGAAGTCAGTAAAGGAGAGAATGGGATGTGAGGAAGTGAAAACAGACACTAGTGTTTTATGTTATCTGTTGCCACAAATGCTTAGAAGCAGTGGATGTGATAGTTAAAGAGAACAGGTGCTATAGTCTTAGACCTCAGCTATTATTCCTACTGTGCCATCTGTTAGTAAGTCACCTAACCTTTCTAGCCAGATTCCTCACCTATACAGTAGAGATAATAGTACAGACCATTTCAAAAAG